GTTTAAAACACTACTTTAGAGTACTGTACATTAGCAAAATCAACCTGGTTTACAGATTCCCCAAAAGATTTTTAGAGATATTTCACTTACTCTTTGGGCAGCATCTGCTGCAGCAGCTGCCATTGCTGCAGCTTTGGCTTTCTCTGCTTCATCATAAGTAGGAAGAGAGGTAGCTACACTATATGGAGGTGGTACAGGGTAAAATTCATTATGTGTTTCTGTTTCTGTTAAAAACAAAAAATGAGTTTCATGCTTTGTATCTCAGAAAAATATCAACAAGAACCATAGACTACAGCCATCTTAAAGAATGCGCACTAAAGTAACAGCAAGGCTGGTGACATTTAAACTGTACAGTCATTAATTTCAGTCTCTTTGTTCTACAGCAACTTGACCTATAAGTGTTTACAGACATTGTGAGAAGTTTTTCGGTTTTTTTATTTATTTATTTTTTTAAAGAACAGGAAAGAGTGAATCACAAATTTAAAGATGCCTAGTGCTGCAGCTCAAAAGTAATTAATTTAAAGTTTGACCTAGATACTGCAAAAGGGCAAAAGAGTTTTGGAACTAAGATTACATTCTGCTAAAAAGCAAATGCAAGTGTTCCACTCATATGCAAATTATTGTATCTGATGGTGGAAGAAGGGTGCAAAGAAACATCCTAAAAGAAGAGTTTCAGATTCTTTAATAAAAAAAAAAATTAGTGAACTGAGGCCTCTCCTGGTCATGTCACATCTCATCAACTGCAGAGCCCTGCTGCAAACTGAAGTTGGTCTACAGAGGCAGGACAATTGCTTATTCTTGGAATGGCTCGATTTTGCTAAGTTAGTATGTAAAATATTGCTTTTAAAAAAGTAACATAAAAACAAATTTTGTTCTAGGACATTTTACTTATGTGTACAAAATATTAATACATTGCAAAGCCAAGCAATATTAACTAGTGTCTAGTACTTGGCTTCCCTTTATACCCCGGCATCAGCATATAACCGGATTCTGCAGCTGATTAAATGACGCCAGCAGAGGTGCTTCTTTTGCAAATACTTCATATGTGTGGACATTTATTCATGGTATCCACATGGGAAATGTATGCATTGTGGCCCTGATCCTGCGGACTACTCTGAATAAGAGCCAAAGATTGACTGTGGAGTTAAAGTACACAGAACTTCAAAAGAAAAAATAAAAAAAATTAAGGGATATCTTGAGCTAATAATACGCTATTTGCACAGTATGGTAATTTGGGCAGTCAGCACAATTCCAAAAGTTGCCTGGGTTTTGGTTTAAAAACAAACAAAAAAAAAACACACACAAAAAAGAGAAACATGCTTGATTAAAAGTGACCCACGGATGTAACAGTAAGTAATTTAAAAAAAAAAAAAAAAAGGGAACGGCATCATACGCCCCCAAATCAGTAGCTGACTCATGATCCTCTCCAACAGTAATACTACCTAGAGCTGTTATATAATAAAGGAAAAATACCTGAGGTTGCAGCTGCTTCTACAGCAATACTACAATAAGGTGGAGGAGAAACATCTGCTTCAGATAAAGCTGCTGGCTGAGAATTTTGTGCAGTCTCTGTAGAAGTGGATGGCTCCTCAACAGTTGACTCTGGAGGATCATCTTCATTGTGAAGCTTAAAAACACAAACATTTCAAAACACATTTAGGGAATTCTTTATATACAAGTAAAATGTTGACATTAACCCCTTCAGATGTTACCAAAGAACAGAAATTTAGCACTATTTTTAGCTTATTGGAATAATTTAAAACTTCTGCTAATAAATTCAGGGACTAAGCTAATATACCCAACAGTTAAGATTTAATAGACACAAGAGACTTTTATCGAAGTACTTCTAACAGCAACCTTTAAGCAATCACTTCAAAAGTACCTCAAGGTGTTCAGTACAATTCCATTCCATTTTAAAACCTCCTCTGCTATCAAAATGATTCTGATGCTTAAAATGGGTTTCACTGAAACAAAAAGCTTTTTTTAAAAAGTATTGACGATCCTAAACCATTAAAGAATATATGGTATGTATGTGTAGATGAACAAAATGAATCCATTTAAAAATCAAAACAGATGAACAACTCTTACCCTTTCACTGTATTAATCCAAAGGCAGGTAATACACCCTAGTCTGTTTATCTAATTATCTGATATTTGTACCCATGCATGTTCTGTTTTATGGTCTCCTCAACTCAAATTCTGAGACAGTCTATATTCTTATTTAAAGCCCCTGCTTCTACCAGTAATCTCTTTCCCACATACTTTTATAGTAATCAGTTACGGTATTGCAGGTTTTCTTTTTTTAAACTTTGTGTTTTAGAGATATTTTACAGTGAAGTATACAAGTAAACATGATCTATAGGAGAAGAATTTGGGTAGGCAAGTATACGGATTTAAAAGAAAAATAAAACAAAACCTCATTTGGCATGATGCTGCACTAACACCCTTAAGTACATAAAATCCTCGTGGTTATTTGAGCCAAAACAAATAACCTTCAGAAAATGAAAATCCAATCTAACAAATTCAAAAGAAAGGAGCACAAGCTATGGCAGGTAGAAAGTACTGGTATTAGGAAGGCTAAAAGATTTGAAGAGCAAAAAGCAAAGAAAAGAAAACATATGAAATTAAGCATATGAAGACTAGTGGTTTCTTTGGATTAATAGAATTAAGGAAGATAAAGACATTACAGAAAAGATAACTTAAGTTATTTCTTTACATCAACCTTCACTATAAGAGATATTGGTGAGATACCCATCTCAGTCTTACTCTGTTTAAAAAAGAAAAGATAAAGTGCTATTGGAGATTGATATGTCAAAAGAGGAGGTTGTTGAATAAATTTGGTAAGGGATAAAGTCCCCAAACAGATGGCAAACATTTGGAGGAACTTTAAAAATAAAGACAGGTTTCAGAGTAGCAGCCGTGTTAGTCTGTATCCGCAAAAAGAACAGGAGTACTTGTGGCACCTTAGAGACTAACAAATTTATTAGAGCATAAGCTTTCGTGGACTACAGCCCACTTCTTCGGATACATGGGCTGTAGTCCACGAAAGCTTATGCTCTAATAAATTTGTTAGTCTCTAAGGTGCCACAAGTACTCCTGTTTTTTTAAAAATAAAACAGATTACCTAATATGACAGAGGACCAAAAAGTTGTAAATATTGTCCCAGTGCCTATCATTTTAAAAAAGGTACTAGGAAATATTGTGGGAAATGACAGACCAATAAACTTAGTTCCACTGCAGATACATTGTTTGAAAAGACAGTTACTAAGTAATTATAAAACACCTTGAGAAAAATGATATAAGAAGATAGCATAGTTTCTGTAAAGGAAACAGTTCCTCTTTAACCTACTAGAAATCTTTAAATGTTTCACAAAATAAACTATATTTTATCTGCTATTTGGACTTTCAAAAAAGTCTTGGTCAAGAATCCCTCACAAGATGTTATTCAAGGAACTAACTATGCATCAGAGGAGAGGTAAAAATACCATCAGGAAGTGGGTAAAACAGAAAATCAGTAGGAATAAGTGATCAACTTTCATTATGAAATAGGGTTAATAATGGGGTACCACAAGGATCTGTTCCAGGACCTGTAGTATCTTATTACTGATCCAGACGAGTAGATGAATGAACATTAATGTGAAAAATATACAGATGACAAAAAATTATTTCGCTTAGTGAAGACTAGAGAAAACGCTGCGGAACTTCAGAATGACCTAACAATTTAGGCACAGGGGTAGCAAACAAAGACAATATTCGATCATGACTATCAAGGCAAAGTGGAACAAAAAACAGTCTGCACTAATGCAAACTGCTGGGTTCTGAATTAACTATAAGTCTTCAATAAAACACCCAAATGTTTCTTCTGGAGACAGCTCAAGTGTTGGGATGCCGAACATAGGAAATATGTTTTATAGAAGCTGATGGTACACCTTCATTTGGAATATCATCTGCAGTTCTGGCTACCCTATCTCAAAAAAGAACAAAAATAGAAGAGGTCCAAAAGAAAGATGGCAAAGAAAGAGACAAGGAAAAACTCCCATATGAAGAGACTGAAAAGACTGCAGCTGTTTAGTGTAGTGAGGAGGCATAACAGAGGTATACAAAATAATTCTTTGATCATTCAACACATTTACTTTCTCTTGTATTACAAAAGCAAGGGGTCATTCTATGAAATGGAAAAACAAGTTATATAAGGCAACACTTAAATAAGCAATACCTATGGAACTCATTGCCACAAGATATGATGGAGGCCAGAGCTTAGTACGATCAAAAAGATCAGCCAGTTATGTTGGACAGAAAATCAGAAGGGATATAACCACCCCCACGGTCCAAGACATGAACCAATCTTTAACTGATGACGATTAGGAAGAAGTCCAAGTCTACAGGTTTTTCCATGATCCTTCACCACTGGATTTCTTGGGCCTTCTCTGAAGCACCTGATGCTATCATTGGCAGACACAGTATCCTCCTGGACTAAATGATCTGATATGGTATGCCAATTCCTCTTTCGGCTATGTCACTACATTCTGATAAGCTGATATTTAATAGTAACATTTTCAAAAAAATACATCAGGATACTGCTTTAAAACAGTATTCTGATTTATGCCATTCCATTAAGAGAAAACAGATTTTGTTTATTTTTGCCATCATAACAAGTGAATTGCTGCCAAGCAGTTAAGAAGACTTTATGGGCTAACCACTGTGTGTCAAGGAGTCTCCTACGACTAATTGAACAACTTGAGGAAAATCTCTCTCAGTTACCAGATTTTTTTCATGCATTTTAAGTACAGGTTTCGAACAGTAGTATGTTCCTCTCTTTTCATGTTTACAATTTTCTGTTAGTTAAAGGCAGCAGAAAATAGAACATCTTTTTGTTTTCCTAACCTTAATTCAGTTTGCCATCTCTAGCACAAATCAATTTGCTTGACAGCAGTTAACTGACATTCTATGGCAGGCCACATACTTATCAAGATATCTTGCTGACTGTACAAAGCTTTACTGTTAAACAGAGCATGCCTCTATCAGCAGGTTTAGATTCCCCTTGAATTATTTATGCATGACTATATGATGCCTGATTTCCCATCCCCCTTTCAAAGCTGCCACACGCTGCCGGCTCAGGAGGCATCAAGGTCACATTACATGAACTAAATTCTTTGGATTTCTAAATGGGTCTTGAGTTAGGTATAACAATGATTCTTCTGAAATCAAAGGTTCAAAGACATATGGAGATCACTGGAGAACAAACAATACAGTCCAAATCATTCATTTCTATCACACACAATTTTTAAACACAAATAGTTTCTTTTTTCTGAATAATTGTAAGTTATGTTATAAAGAATTTGTATCTCAGACAACTTAAAGTTATCAGACATACTCAATTCTAGGACAGGCTGTTTTTTCAGTGGCAGAATCTGCAATTCTTTCAGTTCTTTTCAATCTTTTAGGATGAAAGGCACTATATAAAATGCATGATAGGACTATTACCTGTGATTTTCACACTTCACTTCTGATTACCATAACCATGTGTCTTTAAAAAGACAACACTGCATCTCCTTCTATAGTTTATTCCCTAACTGAAGTACTCATTTTCTATTTGTGACACATCATTTCCACAGCAACCAGATGTGATGTCAAATGATGTACGACTTCAAATAGAACATTAAATTCACAATATGGCATCTGCTTACTCCTGCAAAAGTCTTCGGAGTGGGGGGTGAAGGAAGAAGAGGAAATGGCTGCAGGTGGCCTGCTTTCCCCCTCCCCCTCCCCCGCCCCATTATATTTCTAAATCTAAATACAAACCAAAAAAATCTGTATCATATACTCTGTCTATACCTTTCATTTTACCTTCAAAGGTTGTGTGTGTTTTGCATAAATCTCATTACTTGCGTAAGTTGAGTCTGCCTCTCCTCTGTTGTAATGCTGACTGACTGCTGAAAGAACAACTCAGTTGAATAAGGATCTCATTCAAATATGTCGAAGTCTCAGCTTGTTGAAATAGTGGTGACATTTTGCTGATCTCTTTAAGCACAGTTACATCCCATGACAGTCAAAAATGCAAAGAAACTATACGAGAGAATTGCACATATCCTGTGACACATTCAGCCCAGTTCATCCCTGTTGTTACTTCACTAGAGCTGGCAGTTACTACAGAGATGAATTTCGTCATTGACATTTATTGGTTTCCAGTCACTTAACATATTTTTGCTATCTTCATAACTAATCATGCAGCCATACAGGATGTGGTTGTCACTTGTCAACCCTTTCCTCAAACTATCTGCTTCTATGTGATTTCAAACATTATTTTGTTATTGTCATAATGTAATACTGTATTTTACCACCTTTGCTAATCTCATGGAGTAGTGGCTTAAAACTGGATTGGCCAACTCTTGGTGCATTTCGGCCACAATAAGCTACTAAATACAAACAATTAAAAATAAGATACGGATAATGAGACTATCCTCTTACACTAGATAAATTTTATCCGAAGGGATACTGTGCCATATAACAGTACCAACAACCTTCACATAGGAAATGCTTTATAAGAAATAATTCTCTTTCAAGACAGTCACCACAAAACAGTCTTTCCGAGAGTCTTTTGGGGCTCTTCGGTCTAGCAGACAAAAGG